AAACAAAGCCATTAATGTAACACATCTGTTCATAATAGTATCTAACAACCCTTTTTTTTCTTTTTTTAATAGTATCTAATAACATCGAATGTACATAAACTCTATTTTTAAGCAGAAACTCATTTGGGAAATATAATATATTTCATACCTTACTTACAGTTCCTTTTCTTCTTCAAAAAATTACCCAACTTGTTCAGCAAAGCCTTCTTCACCTTCACCTCCTCAAACCTGATGAGTTTGAGTGAATCACCAGTAAAATCTTTTGAAGGCAGTACATTCACCTTCCTGAAACTCCTGCTGGCCGTCCTACAATCGACTTCATCATCTATTGATTTCACATTACATTCATGTGCAGGGAAATCCAACTTAGAACCCATTGTCAAGGTCTCATCTTTGCCACTGTGTACTCCATTCACATTTTCATTGTTTGCTCTCTCGAGGTAATTTTGCGCGCCTAAAGTAGCATTTGTTTTTTCGCCATGAATTGCATTGGAATCAAGGAATTCATACTCATAGAGACAGTTTGATAGAGCAGAGTCCATTGGTTTTGTCGCTTCGGGTTTCACAAGTAAAAAAGATAGCTTTTTTATAGCTTCTACTTGACAGTCTTCTCCTTTAAATGATTCTGATTCAGATTCTTCTTTCTCAAATTTGATACTACTTGGGCAAAGCTCTTTCACCTTCAACTCGGCTTCAAGGCTTTCAGCTTCAGTCTGAGCTCTTTCGATTGATTTTTTGAGGCAAATAATCTCATATCTTGCTTCATCAAGCATAACTTGATAACTCTCTTCAGTGTTCTTCAGTGCTGATCTCAAATGTTCTGTCTGAAAATAAAAATTTTCTAAGTCGGCATGCTTTTCCAAAAGGATCTCTCGTGTTTCTCTGGCTTCCAAAGAAACTTCTTTCAAAGCTGAAGCTAGTTCTTCCATGGCTTTCTTACTGTTTTCACTCTCATTCCTGGCGGCTTCAAGCTCCTTCATAAGTTTTTCCTTCTCTTCTGTCAGGCTTTGGATCTCAGAGGCCACAATCTTATCATTTTCCATCACATCCAATTTCTCCTGCTTCAAATTTTGAAGCTCTAATTTTAGAGCAACAACTGTTTTTGCCATTTCAGATGCTTCTATGTTTGCTTCATTCAATTGTCTCTCCGACTTTTTGAGATCTTCTTTGTGATTAACGGCTTCCAAGTTCAAGGAAATTACCTTCTCTCTAAGTGCAGCAAGCTCAGATTCTGAATTTCTTAATGCCAACTTACAATCTTCGAGTTGTTTAGAGACCAAATCTGACAGATGTGTTGAAGACTTTTGAGACAATTTGGCTTCTTGTAACTGAACTAACAATAATTCCACCTGCTGTTTGAGGGCATCAACAAATTTAATGGCATCCAACTTGCCCGTTTTCGCTACATTCAGCTCTGTATTAATCGCTTCTAACAGTACTTCCATCTCCACCAACTTCACATCTGTAAACTTTGTTTTCTCAAGTTTAGATTTCAAACAATCAATCTCCAAATTCAGCTTCTCAACAATTTCCTGATTCTCATTGCTTAAACTATCCATCCCTGAATCTAAGAAGGCATTAAGCTGGTTAATCTCAGAGGAAAAGATGCCAAACTTTTCTGCATTGATCTCAGCAGTCTTCATTGCATCATTGGAGTGGCTAATGGCTCTATCTCTAGCATCAGAAGCCACTGTAAGTTCCTTCCTCACCCTTTCAAGCTCCATTTTTGCAGAATCTAATGCTAAAACATCCAAATTATGCAGATTTCGAATGTGATCAATTTTCTTTTGGAATTCCTCTTCTTTCTTCCTCATAGCTCCTATTCCAATTTTCTCCATCTCATCTGCCTTTATGCTTGCAATCTTTGAACCCTCCTCTGCTTTGTTTCGAGCGGCAAGAGCTTCATTGAGCTTGTTATATTTTTCTTCAGCAGTTCTCTTTGCAAAATTCAGCTCTTCACCTGCTTTTATCTTCTCCTGCTCAACTGACGCCATTTGCTCTCTTGTCCTTCTAAGTTCTTCCTGTACAAAAATAAGTTTTGGCTGCAAATCTGGTTTTTTGGTAGGATGGGGCAGTTTCTGCAACCAAAAAAAAAATGAAGTTTTATATGTTTCAGATTAAAATGGAAAATGGCATATAAAGGTGATGGAATTTAGATTTTTCATTCTATTACATCTGCAGATGAAATGATCTTCGATGGACGACGCTCCGTGGTCGGTTTGGCATCATCGATGGATTTCGAAAATCGATCGAGAAAACTGCTGGAACTTCTGAATAGACTTGGTGAACCAGATGAAGATTTTGTGGATCCTCCTCTGAATAATTTACTACTCCGAGGAGTAGTCTGTGTGTTTTTCCCATTATGAGTATCAGATGAACTAGATCTGCTGAAAAGAAAGAAGGGAATTTTGAAATTTACATTCATTTGTTAAACTTATGCATGAAAAAGATTATTCATTTTTTAAGAAATGTTAAATTATGATAGTCTTTAAACAAATAAACTATATTAGATACATATTAGGAATAATTGAATACAAAGCACTTGAAACATTGTTATTTACAAAAGTAGCACCCGTGTGATTTTTTTGAACTATCAAACTGATGCATTTACATGTTCCACGATCAAATCATTTGGAATTTAATAAAAATGAAAAACATGAGCGTGGAGTTTCATATTTAATTCTGATATTTGAGCTAGGATCATAAAAAAAAAATTGAATGAAAGGGTGCTAGTTTTGTAAATAACAATAGTTTTCTTACTTATATTTATTTAATTGCCCAATATTGTTAACAATATTATCTAAGTAACACAAAAGATCATCTTGGTATGAATACACAGATCCGGTAACACAAATACGAAGAAGTGCAAGCAATCTACATGACCTAAAACTTCAAATAAAAGCAGAGAGCACGCATCAAATCATAGCCAATAATCAGTAGAAAGTTACAGCTCCACATAATAAAAAACAGAAAGCTTATTATAATGGAATCCATGCAACTCTTCCACTCAAAGAAGATCCATCCAACAGATATATAAAATAAATCCAAAACCGCAGAACAAAAGAAATCCCAATTCCACCGACATTAAAAAAGCAGTCTAGAAGTAAAATACAGTTCCAGAACCCACCAAAACCACGCCCGATAAGCAGCAGGAAATTGCATCTTGCTTGCTAGAAAAGAAAGAAACGGAAGCACATGGCCTCATCAGATCAAAATAATGAGGAATCGCTTACTTGGTCTTGGCGGCAAGCATTGTCTCCGAGAGAGATCGAGGAAGAAGAAGAGCGGCGGGCGGATGACCTAAAAGGAATGCTAATTTGTTGAGAGGAGGGTGGAAGTGGGTGGTCTGCAGCAGAAAGAAGATGAGAAGTGGAGCTGAAGGAAGCTTGAAGAGTAGGGAGGGGTGGAGAAGAAAGTCGAATTTGGTCAATTATTGCGGTCGGTTACATCTCCTAATCTTCTCCCACGAGCGCCACGACTCCATGAAAAAGGCGGTTCTCCTCTGCTCCACCCTTTACGGGATCTCTATATGGGTCATTTACGTAAATGGCACCCATTTTCTATGTATTTACCTATTAATACTTAATTTTTATTTTTTACATTTATGTCTTTCAACATTTATGAAATTTAGGCGTCTGTGATGTAAATGCATAGGAAATGTGTGATGTAAATTTTCCTTTTTTTAAAAAATAACATGTTTTAGTCCTGAGAAGACCAAATTTACATTTTTCATATACTTATTTACTTCTAACTATATATATATATGCGGTTACTAGTGTCAAAGTTATCAAAGTCCGTTATAAATATGCAAAGATGTAATGACTCATAATTTTATTGTAACATTTCTATGATCTATAAATAGGTGGATCATTTTCACAAGAAAGACTACTAGGCTTTTTCCCTGAAAATTATCATTACTCGTGACTTAATCTTTCTTCTTTTTCTCCTAATTCTTCTTATTTCTTTCATCCAACCAACACTCTATTCTTTAGGCGTGACTCGAAGTACATTTTAGAACTAAACTATATATATATATATAGTACAAATTGTTTATATTCAATTAATTTAAACTTAATACACTCCGATTTACCCCAAAGTAGGTCTCCATTTAAAATTAAGTCAAGCCTACTTTGAGTTCACTGCAAGCACAAGTCAAATTCTTTGTTGTCCCACTTGTATAAATATAATTAGAGCTGACTTACAATGTGACTGCGAGCAACTTTATATCTCAAATAAATAATATATATTTTGATGCACTTATAGAAATAAATACAAAAGATCAATTTTGATGTGTGTGTGTGTGTGTAAATATATATATAAATATCTATGTGTGTGCGCGTGAGCGCAAGTGTGTCATTGGGTGATAAATTGGTAGACAGCTAGCTATATTGTCAGTCGTAAGAACCTTCTGTTTTGATTCCTATGGGGACCGATAACACATATAAAGGAGCTATATTCTCAAATCAAATATCACTCTTTATTAAGGATAAGGAAAAAAAAAAAAAATTGTTCATGCGAGCGTACACATGCGTGTGTGCATGTTTTACTAGGCTTGAATTTTCACTATTTTGAGCCAAGTTGGCTTGACCCTTCAAGCACCGACACTTTCTATCAAATTTATTAAAGATGCATGCACTTGGCAATCAAGTGTCCTCACATGTATTAATCATATCATCCACATGGTTAACTAAAATAAATTAAAAAAAGATATGGTCACATCTGCCCCACAAATATGTTCTAAACAATCAATCATATTATCTCTATAATTCAAGTTTAGCTGTCTCTTTTTTATTATTTTGAATTATATTAAAAAAAAAAAAACTAAATATATACATATTAATTTTTATTATTAGATTCAATGTCACCTTAAATATGTGCCCGTATCTTATGCTTTTAGTAATAGATTCTTATATCTATGCTTCGTATTTTGTATATTTATATCAAAATCAATATTTATTCCTAATTCAATTTTAAGTAAATGAAAATCGACTTGATGCGAATCAAATTTAATATAATTGATAATATTACAGTTACATATTAAAAATTCAATAGATTATGAAGAGAACAAGCCCATGCTTCTATAAACCTTAAATTTTAGCTTTCCCTTTTTATTTATGTGAAAGATTGGGAGATGTAAATATAGAAAGCAAGGATTTAGCATCACGTATGCAAATACACAGAAGTTGGGTGGTAGGTAAGGGTCCGTGTGATGTAGATTATCCCAGCGTTCGGCGTTTTCATAACGCCGCGGAGCTGTTTGGTTAGTGCGTTGGGGCTGGAGGTCGAAGAACGCGCGTATTGTTTTACGTTAAAACTTGAACGATTTACGGCCGCTCACTTTACCCCGCGTTTGGCGTTTCAATCCAACTTATTACTTCGGAGCCCTCAATCCCGTCTTCGTTTGGCAAAGTCGCGCTGAAGAGGGGAGGAGGCGACGACTTGAGGCAAGGTTTCGAGCCGAGAGGGATCGCGAGAGATGAGGGAAGGGCTCACCGACGCGAGGAGAGGAGGCCAATCTGGTGGTCGCCGGCCGACGGCTTGGAGCGAAATCCCGGAGTCGGCTAATGTTTTCATGAAAACGAGGGCGGTGGCTGTCTTGCGCGCGATAGATGGGGAGAGAGAGTATGCGATGATTTTATAAGAATGATAATAATAATAATATTATTAAAATAATAATAATAATAACAATTATTATTCAATTAATCATCAATCCTCACATTTTTAGCCTGTACACGTCCTCACAACGAAGTAGATGTCCTTTCTGACTAAAATCAACGTTTCAGACTCATTCGTGCAGTTCGTTTCGTCATCCGGGTGGCTTCTGTTTTATCTATTATTTTGCTCATGCATTTATATTGCAAACATTTTCACTAAACATAGGTAAAATTTTCATTTATCCAACAACATCTACCAATAAGCTGTTCCACATATTATCCCTCAAACAACAAGATAACTTATCCTGATAATCTGTAGATTATCAGATTATCAGGATAATATGTTTATCATCAGATTATTAATAATTTACAGCTGCCCCAAACAGTCCATAAGTAAATGCCACCCAAGAAAATATTCAAATGTTAATTTTGAAAAACATTAATTAATTATCTAAATGCACAACATTCCTTTCTAACGTTTGATTGGAGTGGAAAACAAGGGAGCAGCCTTCCCAAGCCAATTAATTTTTTCCTTAAATTCATGGCTTTCGGTATGAGGTTCGGTCAATGAAATAATAAATATTCAAATTAATTAATATAATAATAATAATAATAATAATAATAATAATAATAATAATAATAATAATAATAATAATAATAATAATAATAAAATGTTTTTATTAACGTAATATATAATATTTATATTTAGAATACTTTATTTTTAAATATCTTAAATATAACTTTAAATTTAAAATTTTAGACATGCCATCTTTAATTATTATATATTTTTTTCTGTCTATTTTTTCATCTAATTAAGATAAAAACCTAAACGTAAAAAGCGATTAATATTAGAATGTTCACTCTCCTCATTCTACATCCATTTTTCTACTTATGGTCTCCCATATTGTCGTCTAATTATATACTGCATATACAAATACAAATACTGCGAAAAAAACATAAAAATGATATAAATAACTTATAAAATATATCAAATATCAAGTCATATTATTTGTACATCAAATTCTCCCAAACTTAAATTTTACTTGTACTCAAGTAATTCAATATGTAAATTCTGACTTCTTTGAAAGTTCATGGTATATTGTGGCTTAGGATTGCATTGTTATTTAATACTAAAATCAATATATGATTTAGAGTGCACAAATCTTTTCTTAAGATTGGATTTTATTAGGAACCCCTAATATCAAAAAATTACTTATATTAATACCTTTTTATATAATTATCCCCGAATCATTTAAATTTAGTTGACTGAAATAACATTAATTCTCAGATATATATATAATTCAATTAGGCCAATCAACTAAAGAATGTTAATTCAATTATTATCTTCTTGGATAGAATATTTAAAATCTAGAGTTTAGGATATTTTTGATCTTAACATACCTCAAACGTCTCATTTATGTATAATTTTTATAATCAACCGCCTTTATATTGATATCATATCCTAATATTTAAATTTTCTCAGTAGACTTCTCTTGTTTGGTTGATTCCATTTGAGCTTTTCTCTATACTGGTTAAGATTATTGTCTAGAATCCCATTTTACATTGAATCAAAACCATAAGCTAAATACTCTCAATTATGTTTTTCGTGCTATTAAATCGAGATATATATAATCATAGGACTTCTACAAAAGGGAAACCGCAATCTCCTAACAAAATAAACCATATCTTATATATATTTCAAAACAAATCTCTTAGGACATACATTTTTCAGTATGTTCTTGGTTGATCATCATGAATTTATGTTATACACTAAATTCGATTCATACTTAATGACCCTTATTGGAATCATAAAATTATAAGGCTCTTCCAAAGCCCGCAGATTTCTGAGGGCTCCATGAGGGATGTTCTCTCCCCCCACTTTTGAAATTGCAACTTAAATTTATTTACATGAATTCCTTTTAATTTAGCATCTTCTATAAGGATTTCACTTTGTTCATTATTTGAGTTGCTATATTATGTTTCTGATTTCTTTCTCCCACATCACCCATTAATGATTTTTCAAAATTCTTCGGCATGATTTCAATTGCCATAACAAGCAGTAAAAAGACTTCCTTCTAACTAGCTCATGGCTTACATACCACCCTCTCCAAATTTTTGGATCTAACTCATAGGGTGATTTATTTTTAAGAGTTTCCTTGCCTTTGATCATCTTGGTAAGGCTTACCTTGATAATATTGGTTTGGCCCTTAATCCTCCACCAAAAAACTTTCAAGAAACAGAACAAACAACTTGAGCACCAAAAACATCAAATATGATCATCTAGATGATGTTTTATTCATGAGCCTCTTGTTTAGCCTTGAAAGAAAAGCGTGACATTGATTGGGTACATTTATAAATTTAGATCAAGGTTCAGCATCATATTAGATGGTATACCTTGAGCTAAATATAATAGAAAATACATACTAACTTGCAGAAAGATGCATAAGATGTCTTTTCCATTGGCTTGGAGTTTCATGATCAACATGTCTTACATCAATCAATAAGAAATATCATCGTTTATGATTTATTAAATCTTTTTCATTGGCTTGGAATTTCCTAATTAAATTTTGGCATTCAAATCTTCACAGTTGAAGGGAGGCTAAACTTTAGCTAAAATATTATTTTATTGTGGCACTTACATTCTAAAGTTCTAATAAGGTGAGAGAGATGAATGCCATGCTTTTTCGAACTTGCACACGATAAATCTGAAGAAGAGAAAACTACAATAAAAATAATACTAAAACGGATCATTTACATACATACCACACAATTCTTAGTTATTTACGTATATAACCTCAGTCAACAAGAAACATAGCCGCTATTAATTTTTTAAAAGTAAAATACATCTTTTCATACATAGGTTCATGACACCTAATGTTATAAGTGCAGACATAAAAATTTAGGAATTAGGTATGTAAATATATAAGAATAGAGTGGTATGAATGTAAATTTCCCAGATAAACAAAATAAAATAATATAAAACAGAACCACTGGTTTAGAAAATTTGGATTACAAATCTATACAAAATGAGTTTAGACAAGTCTCCCTTCAATCAGCTACAGATGGGGCGACAAAATGCCGGCAAAACAGGAAAAAGAGGGTGCAAAATGGAAAAATTAGGCTTGAACATTAGCTTTGTTTCCAGCAAGAATGAGAGAGATCTCCAGGCCTCGGCTGAAAGCTTGGTTGAAAAGGAGGCGGGATTGGAAGGTGGAGATGAAGGGGAACCATGAGAGGAATGCCACAGGAGCAAAAATCAGCATCCCCATCCCAGCATCATACATCCGAGCGACCTCTCGCACAGAGTCCCACAAGCCCAAGCTTCTCACCAGCCATTTCCATGTGATTGCAATCTGTGAACGTCATTTAAAATAATTTGTACATATTCTTATGGTGAAATGGTGAAGAAATGACCAAGGTTGTAAGATTATACGAGACATTGAACCGGAAGGAGAGGTTTAAGATGCAATAGTTTAACCGGAGTTGTACTGTGATGATTTAAAAAATATTTGTATTATTGAATATAACTTAAATAATATAATAATATATTTTTATCAATTCAATAATTAATATTTTAATTTAAAATAATACTTTTGAATAATTTGAATCATATTCTAAATTAAAAACTTGAGACATTAAATTAGAATAATTTTTAATTTAAATAACTTATTTTTAGCCATTTGATTAAAATCAAAAGACTAGATCATATTTGAACCTACTAATTCTTTAAAAATTAGACTGGTTCACTGTTTAAATCCTGGTTCTATGCGGAAATGGTTTTGAGTTTGGACTGAACCAGTTGAATTAACATGTCAATCATGAATAGGCCGATCGGTTCTGATTTTTAAAACAATGCAAATAACAAACTATATAGCTTGGTTTATCTAATCTTTGGAAAAAGACAAACTATCTGAAAGCAAACTTTTTTAAGCGAGGAAAAGAAATGGGCCTTTCAAGTATTTTGCATGGCAAAGCTTTCAGAAAGTGAATCTTTTATCTTGAAATTTCTAGCTCCATATTCTGACACAATCAGTTTCAAAATATCATAAGCAATAATAATTAGTAATTCAAAACCGTAATGGAAGGTTTTCTATGATTTAAATGTTTTGAATACAAGCTGAAAAAAGATGGATAATAAAATAATTTCATGGCAGAATTTAATACAACGATTCAGAAAGTGTAGAGCTGATGGTAGAAAACTTACGCATAAGATTGCCCAACCGGTTGGTACGAATGCGAGTATGCTTGCAAAAAGATCGGCGACAGATAAGTCCGTCAATGCCACGAATAACACAATTGCGACAACAATTCCAATTGAAGTTACGCCTTGTATAAACCTCAACAGAAGCTGGAGATTGGAAGATTTTCTTGGACTAAAGGTAAAAACCTGCAATGCCACAACAATTAACCAAGCAAGCAAGGAGAAGAGATTATCAAATCTAATTTATTTTAGAATAAAATAGTAAATAAAATTTGAAATAGTATTATTACCTTGAATATCATAATAAAGATAAGGAGCACAACCCAAGAATAGCCGTATATCTGGAGGGACGAATCAAACATTAGAAATTAGATTAAGAAAATTGACAAGGAATTTAATGGCAAAAAAGTCAAAATACATGCAATTTTGCAGGTAAAAAAATTAGAAAAAACATACAAGTATAGAAGTCAGGGAAATAAGCATCACACAGAAACGCATCTACTATTTCAGGCAAAAACTAGGGGAAATTACATACATACGAATCAATTCCTATGTATTCACAAATCTAACACCTAAATTTTACTTTTAACATTTATACCAGCCAAATCTTTCATAACACATAAGAAAATACAACTATTTTAACTTATAAAAGGTGAAATCTATCTTTTCATGCTTAGATAAGGTGGCATGTATGTAATGATTGAAGTGTTAGATATGTAAATACATATTAGATATGTAAATACGTAAGAATTGAGTGTTATTTATGTAAATCTTCCTAAAAGCTATTGTTTAGCACCACAGGACCACGAAAGAGTGTCTGGGCAACATATTTGTAGTTAAATAAATTCACTCTCAGATATAACATATTTATGTAAATCATCCTAAAAGCTATTTCTAATTAATAGGCACTATTAAAGGCCATTCTACTGTTTTTGTGGGCCATGTGTATTGGGAAATTTACACAAAGCTCTGAATTCCAGTAGCATCAAATAGAAAATTAGCACAATATTCATAAATTAAACTCCATCAGCTTATTTGTGTTGTTACTTAATTATCTTGATATACACTTCTTCCTCAAGATCCTCACTAAGAAATACATTTTTAACATCTAACTGATCTAAAGGCCAGTCCTAATTGACTTCTAATGACAATAATACTCTTACTGTGTTGAGTTTCAAAACTAGTACAAATGTCTCCTAGTAGTCGATCCCCCAAAACCGAGTTAACCCTTTTGCTATAAGTCTAGTGTTGAATCTTTTTTGAACCCATCTACTTTATACTTAACAACGAATACTCATTTGCATCATACAAATCTTTTACCAGGTGGCAGATTATATTTAACACTGAATACCGATTTGCACCCTACGGTTCTTTTCCCAGGCGACAGAGTTGTTATGATTCAGGTACCATTCTTTTCAAGGGAAAAAATCACTTCTTCCAAAGCCTTTTTCCAAACAGGAATAGATAAAGCCTCTTGGATTGAATTTGGGACTTGGGACGTCATCCAAATTCTAAAAAGGATTTGTAAAAGAATGATAATTTTCCATATGTCACAAATTTTTCTATAGTGTTTTGTGCATTCTTGTGCTCCATTTTCTCTTGGTTCTCATGATGTGTTGACCCAACCATTGAGTGATTACTTGGGAGATGCGGGAAAGTCTCCCGCACTGATGTGGGACAACGCAAGAGTAGAATCGCACAACCCTGGATAATGCACGAAGTTGCGTGTGGTTTGGACCGGCTCAAAATAGAGGTGCTAAGGGCGAGCCGAACCTTCTTGACCATGGATTTTCTGCGTAATGGGAGTGGGGTCCACTATGTAGTTACCTTTATATATGTTCTCTGTGTTTTAGGTTAGTTTTAATAAGTTCTGTATCGAGACAGCTGCTGACGTCTTCTCTTCTCTTCAAGGGCTGTATATAAGAATCGGGTGATGCTCCGACTGTATCTCGCTCCTGAGTTGATTATTATCTTCCTATTCCCTTTTGCATCCTCCCCACATCGCTCCCAACCGCCCCTTCGCTGCTGCAACCGCCTGAAACATCCTTGTTTGCTATTTTCCTGTAGTTTCCTCATTGCTGCCGCCCAGGACAGCCCTCAATTTGTCTTCTGACAGTCCACCACATACCCCACCGTAGTTCCAACCATCCATAATTCCCACCATCGCCATTCCAACCTTCACCTTTTAGTGCCCCTGCTATTTAAGCCCTCCATACCCACAACTATGATTGTTCTAGATCTCCATCTTTCTGCCCCTTGCTGCAATCCCCTTTCCCTCGTTGCCGTCAACTGGAATAGCTAACCCGCTGTTCCACGAGCACTCCCAGCTGCCAGCCGCCCAAAACCATTCCTTCTGTAGCCTTACTACTTTGAAAGACATCAAAATTCTCCCCACTGCCGTTCTGATAGCTCTCGACCACCTCTAACCACTGTTCCTCCACTTTCCAGCCCACCTACAACCTTCTCGCCATCTTTCCAAGTTCCTAACAGTCACTGCCACCTCCCAAAATTCACCTAGCCGCATGTAGTGCTATTATTTCCATTTCTCTGTGTTAGTAGTAATTGCCAATTGGTTTTGTCAATAATAATGTGTATCAAAGTGTTGTTTGGGTTAATTCAAGTATCATTGGGGTGTGGTGTTCTGGTGATTTGCATTCTTGATTATGCATGTCCCTTACATGCTCCCGAGATTTTTTTTTTAATTTCTGGTGTACACATCACGTTCTCGGTTCTTAGTGGGAGCTATGGGAGGATTTAGTGTAGTAGTAGATTCATTTTTAGATTGATTTGTGATAGTGCGGACAAGAGTGAGTTCATCAGGGATAAAAGGGAGGCAAGGTTGAGATTCTTGAATGGTACCCCAAATTTGATATTCTCTGTAACTCTCCCCCTGAATGTTAAATTTGTAGTATGGTTGATTTTCAAAGAACATTCATGGAGTGTTTATGAAGGTAGCATTTATACCCCTTTTTGTTTGAAGAGTGACCCAAAAAAATGCATTCGATTGAACTGAGATCACTTTGGTTGGATGTGGTTGATGTAGGTGAACAAAAGCGATGCAACAAATAATATTTAGTAGTAGGTTAGAGGTGAATAACTGAATGTGGGGGGAGGAATTTATGAGGATGTTGTGAGGTTTGCTAAATTTTAGCACTTTCCTGGTAACTTATTTATGAGATAAGTGGGTGAGAATTGTATCCCTCAGAATTGAACGGGCCACTTCGAGGAGATGTCTGTTATTTCTCTCAACCACACCATTTTGTTGGGAGTGTGTCAAAACAAGAACTTATATTAAAGATATTATTTATAGATAGATACGGGTCGAGAGTGGAGTTGTCGTAGTCTTTTGCATTATCAGTATTGAGAATATGAATTTTGCTCTGAAATTGGGTAAAATTCATGTTGTAAAAGGTTTCAAATATGTTCTCAGTTTTAAAATTTTCAATCATGAGAAAAATCGAAGTGTTTTTGGTGTGATCCATCAATAAAAGTGACAAACCACCTAGCCCAATTTGTATTTTTTATTTTTGAGAGTTCACGAATATCACTATGAATCATGGAGAAGGGATGAGTCGGTTATTATTTAGACTTGGGTACACTTGTGGAGTATGTTTAGCAAGTTAGAGAGTTTACACCGAAAGAATTAAGATTTTTGTTAATAAATAAATGTAGATAGAATTTTTCAATATATTAGAAATTAAGATGACCAAGATCAAAATGCCATAACATACCTTGACTCTCATGAGAAAGTAACTTAGATACAAGACCTGACTCAAAGGATTGTGAATGGTGAGATGGTTCTTTTGAAGCAGGAGTCCTACCGAGCAGATAAAGTCTAAAATAAAAATCAACACTTCAATTTTATCGAGTCCATCACTTGAAATTTACACAAATTTATGTAGAATTTAGTAACACAGTTCATATTACGAGTAAATTTACTGATAAACAATAAATCGCAGTTCAATTTAGAAACATAAAGCATAGATTGAAGAATAAGATCCTTTGTGAGTTTCACACATCATTTTCCTTCCACAAGAGAGAAAGTTATTTGTGGTTCTAACTGCAACATTATTTTTGCAAGAATGGAACGATTGAAAAGTAGTGATATCACTTGTCATGTGATCAATGATCCAGAGTCCATTATTTAAGGTTGATTCCTCCTGTTGATAGCAACAAGAGTAGATAGAAAACTACCTTGATGTGCTAGAAGCTGGTAGAAGGCTTAGAGAATTGTCCCAAAAGCCTTTGGAGAGCTTCAAGTTGTTCGTTGCATAATTGACTACGTTCATGAGGCTTGCCTCCCTTTGATGTCGTGTTTGCTTGATTGTCCTCATCACCTTTAACTGCGGGGCTTCCAATCTTTCATACTTTCCATAAATTTTCCAATACTCTCCTTTAGATGATCAAACTTCTTGCAATGTTCACACCACAATCTGTTCATCTTGGATTTGTTATCCTGAGATGATTTGTGAGTGAATAAATCCGAGAAATCAATGTTTGATGTAGTGGGATTACCTGCCATAAGTTTCTACACGCCCTCTTCTCTTCATACTTCAACAAATGCTTCACAAATTGAGGGAAGATGTTTGATTCCCATGATTCTTCCTGTAAATTCATTAAGTTCCTTGTTGAGTCCTAGAAGAAATTTGATGGTTCTCTTCCATCCAAGAAAGATTTAGAAAAGCCTTGTGAGCAACTCTATGTGTATATTTAATATATATCTATCGAAAGTCAATATTTTGGAGAGAGTGTTGAAGTATTGAGTAACATTCAACCCACCCTACTGGAGATCATGTAATCCAATTTCAAAGTCAAACAACTTAAACGTGTTATCAACACTTGAATAGGTTTCCCTTGCGGCATCCCATATTTCTTTTGCCATTTTGTACAGGAGGAAATTTTCTCCAATTTTCATGGTCATGGAGTTGACAAGTTATGACGTGATCATATGTTCTACAATCTTCCATGTTCAATGTTTAGGATCATTAATTTTTGGTGCAGGATTTTTTCAGTGAGATGATCATCTTTTCCTTTACCATAAATGCAAATGAATATAGATTGAGACAATTAGAGGAGATTGTTATAATGCAACTTGTGATTGACGGTGTAAAAAGAGATTTTAGATGCTGCCACCCTTGGTTCTAGTTCAAAAATAATTTCTAAATAGGAAGTAGCTTTCAAGCCGTCCACACAGAATTTCCATATGAGGGAGACTGTGTCATCGACACAGGATTCACACTAGAGAGAGTGTTTATCATCAACACAGAGGATTTTCACAAGAGAGAGAAACTGTCTATCACTGACACATGATTTAAGCTAGAGAGAAACTACCTGTCGTCAA